TAGCTCAGGCTGGCTCTTAAGTTTACAATCCTCCTGCTTCCATTTCTGGAGTGCTGGGATTACAGCCATGTACCACCATGCCTGGCTTCTGTGCAGTTTCTTGAAGGTGTTCTTTGTTTGTTTTTTGGTGGTACTGGAGTTTGAACTCCTGATCTCTGCCTTCTGAGTAGCTGGGATTACAGGTGTGAGGCACTGGCACTAGTCTTGAAGGCGTCCTTTGAATCACAAATTTTTTAAATTATGATGAGGTCCAATGCATGTAATGTTTTCTTTTGTCACTTCTCATATTTTGTGTCACATCTAAATCATTGCTTAATCCAAGGCTATAGAGATTTATGTTTTTGTTGTATTTTTTGGTGGCATCGGGCTTTGAACTCAGTGCCTTCCTCTTGCTAGGTGGATACTCTACCTCTTGAACCACACTGCCAGCCCACTCTAGTTATTTTTCAGGTAGGGTCTCAAGTTTTTGCATGGAGCTGGCCTCAGACTTCAGCTCTCCTCCCTTGACTCCAAAGTACCTAGGATCACAGATGTGCACCTGCATTCCTGGACTCTTTTTTTTTGAGACAGGGGCTAGGTATGTAGCCCCAGCTGGCCTTGAACTCGAAATCCTCCTGCTTCAGCCTCCTGAGTGCTGGGTAAGTCTGTGTTCTCATCTGAGATTAACTCCCACCCTTACTTCTTTGGCCCATTTGAGTTAATTTTTGTACACAGTGAGAGGCATGAGTCCAACGTCATGGTACCCATTTCTCCTGTCACTGTTTGGTGACAAGTATTCTTGTCCTCTGAACTACCCTGGCACCTGGGTTGAAAATCAATTGGCCACACATGAAAGATGTCATGCTGGACTGTCAGTTCCATAGAGTAGATCTGCCTGTCTACGTCTTGGCCAGTTCCGTCCTTTTTGACCCTCTTCTCCCTCCCTCACTTCAGCCTGTTCACCACAATGAGTCCTGCACCTGCTGGCAATCGGTGTGGCTCCTTGGAGCTGGGCACACATGGTGGCTGAGTTGAGCATTGTCTCTGTCCTTGTGGCCCTGACGTTCTCCTAGGAGTGGGCAGACAGAAGAGAATAAAGATATAAAAAAAGCAATTTCAAGGACCGGAGGAATGGCTCAAGCCTTTCTAGCAAACACAGAACCCTAAGTTCAAACCCAAGTACCCCAAACAACAACAAACATCAAATAAAAGGCAACTTCAGACTGTGATTAGTGAGAGCCATGGAAGGAAAACAGAGGTGGGCGGTTGAGAGTGACTGGCACATGGTCACAGAGCGGCTTTTTTTTTTCACAATGGGATGCTGGGAAGGGCACTCTGAGGGGGCAATGTTTGAGGTCCCAATGAGAAGTCAGCTGTGCAGATCTGGGGGTAAGGTGTGCCAGGCAGAGGGGCAGAATTTGCCTGAAGATAACACTGATACACTAAGGAGGGGAAAACAGACACGCAGAGCTACCAAGGGCCAAGCCTTGATTAAACCAAGCCTGAGTTCTACCTGATCCTGACTCAATTGTTGTTGGGCCTCTGTTCAGCCTATCGGAATCGAGTCTTCTGGCCGATGACGGACAGCATCCACACTGGAGTAAGCCTGTCCTTGTGCCCCACCAGGACCGGGAGAGATTTCTCTAGCTCAAGTTTGCACACTGCATTGGCAAAGTTTAAGAATAAGAGGTCCAGATGTTTTGCGTCTCTTGAACAACTGGGAGACTTTGCACTCTGTATGTGGCAATGAGGTCAGAACTGAGGGCCAGCCCTAGCTGGATGTGCAAGATGACCTAAAGGGGAACTGATACCAGAGTCAGGCAGGACAGACAGGACCGCCTTCTCCAGAAAAATCGACTTGCTGTGCGTTTGGCTTACTTACGTTATACGCCTGCCCCCTGCAGGCGAGGGGGTTTATGGCCAGCCTTAAACACAGGCTAGGCCCAGGGCCAGGAACGAATGAATGAATAAGTGAACTCCTGCCACTCTACTTCCCCAATTCTTTTTGTTTGCTGATTTCCTTCTTTGAGACATGGCCTCACCACATAGCTTAGACTGGCCTGGAACTTGCAAGCCTCCTACCTCAGCCTCCTGAGTGCTGGGATTACAGACACCCCCCATCATGCCCAGCCTACTCACCCTGACTTTAACAGAACATAGTGTCAAATATTTTGAGCTCTCTTCTAAGGAAATATGAACTTAATTCAATTATTTTCTATATTATGTGGATTTCCAATTGAAGCAAATCTGAACACAGGTATTTATCTTGTTTTATTTTTACCTGAGCTGGACCGCTGGATGGTAGGGTGTGCTTTCAAAGCAACTCTTTTACCAGTTCAGTCCAGTAGAGGGCGTCCGCAACAACGAACAGAGGGAAGAGCTGCAGGCGGCGTGAAGGAGGGATCCCCAGTCCCCAGCCACAGCACTCCTCCAGCAATGGGGACCACGACACGCAGCTCAGACTCCTGATGGGAGCCACTGTCTGTGGCATTTAATATTCTGAGGAGGTAATGCATTTACATGGTCCAAAATGAAATTTAAAAAATAGTACAATCTCCCTCTTACTCCACCCCTGGTTCCTGCATTACCACCTACAGGTACTGCCAGAGGTTTTCATGCACATACAAACAGGCACAAATATCTATTTTTACCCCCCACATTTTACCCCAGAGGTAGCACTGCTCTGCACACACCGTTCTGTACCTGGCACTATTTACTCAGGATACCTTGCATGTCAGCACACAGAACAGCTCCTCGCTCTTTCTCTCTTTTTCAGCTGCATGGTGCTCCACGTGTCCTGGTATCATTCTCCACTCATCTGGTCCCCCGCTGATGGGCACTCAGGTTATTCCTGACTTTCTGCTACTGGAAATAAAACAACATATAACCATGGCTGTATTTTGCATGTGTGCGAAGACACCTATGACCCAACTGTGCACAAGAATCACTGGTGGGTTTTAAAAACTCCCAGCCTCCAGGGCACAGCTTGGATCAATTCCATCAGAATATCTGAGCACTGGTGACCCCAGTGTCCAGCCAGGGCTGGGCACCACTGACCTCTAGGGAAAATTGGTTGAGACCATACAGATTTGAGGTTTTGCTGGATTTTGCCAACTGGCCTTTATAGGCCATTGTGTCAGTATTACCCACCTCCCCTCCCCACCCAAGAAGACTTTTTGTATATTTGAATGTATTTATCTTTTTTATGGATTCTGGGTTTTGAGCTTTGGTCAGGAAGATTTTTCTCATTCCAGACTTAAAGAGGAAGAGCACATGTCTTTTGGGGTTCCTTTAATTTTCTTCTTTGATTCTTTGTGGAATTTGCCCTAATCAGTGGTGTGGGGTAATGAACCCATCTCTGGTTTTCTTACCAATGACCAGTTTCCCCCACCTTTACCAGGCAGTAGGACCCATGGTGGGCTGTGTCAGGCAGGAATTTCTTTGTGGCAACATCCATTCCAACTTGTCTGCAATTGTGGCCCTGCCCACCCTTTCTTTTTGTTTGTTTATTCATTTATTTATTTGTGGTGCTGGGATTTGAACTCAGGGCCTTGCACTTGCTAGGCAGGTGCTCTACCACTTGAACCACTCTGCCAGCCCTCTTTTGTTTTTGCTTCCCTAGACCTCTAAGCTTTTTTTCTTCCCAGGTGCTGGGGATGAAACTTAGAGTTTCCAAATGCTATAGCAGCACTGCCACGAGCCACAGATCCAGCCCCAAGAACGCTGATATTCACTGGGCATTGCTCCTCTTGGGCTTCTATTTAACACTTATTTTTTAAATTTTTATCTTATTTTTGAATTAGAATACATTGACAATACAAGGGGGTTTCATCATGGTGATTTCACACATGTGTACAGTAAGGTTTTTTTTTTTTGAATGTCTACTATGTTTTTTACACGTATCCTTTCAATGAAACATTGACCAGGCAAGTGACTCTGGCGGTTACTGTTCCATTGGAGGAAAGTACTCTCAGACGGGTTCCAGAGCTTGCCCAGTGGCCTGGGCTGGAAAATGGCAGTGGTGACAATTCAAGAGCCTGGTCCCCAAGGTCCAGCGTTTTACCTGTGTAACTGGTCTGGAGGGATGAGGATGCTAAAGGAGGAGTGAATGAATGACAGCGGAGGAATGAGGAAGACAGAATGAGTCAGCTCTGGCTCTGACTGGAGGGGAGGTAGGACATGAATGCAAATAAGCAGAATACAAAGTATACAGTGAGCCCAGCAGTAGCTGGAAGCAGGCCACTTTCAACCCCTCCTGTTAAAATGCTGCATTCTTTCCAATCCTTCCCCACCCAGAATCCACAAAACCAAAGGCTGGGGTGGGGGCGGCGGCCAGCCTGTCTCCTCTGGTTTGCTGCATTCTGTCGTTCACTCGGAGGTCCCCTGGGGACCTGGGGGGCAGGGGAGGAGAGAATGAGGGGGGAGGAGGGAGATGCAGGGAGGGGAAGCGGAGAGGAAAGAAGAGGGGGGAAGGAGGAGGGGAGAAGAGAGTTTAGGGAGGAGGGGAGAGGAGAGAGAAGGGGCTTGGGGTGGGATAAACAGAGAGGATGGGAGGAGGAGATAATAAGGGAAGAGAGGGAGGAGAGGAGGGGGAAGAGAAGGGAGAAGGAGTGAGGGAGGGAGAAGCAGGGGGAGGGGAGAGGAAGGAGGGAGAGGGTGATTAGAGGAGGGTGGAGGGAAGGAAAGGGGATGGGGAGTGGGAAATGGACAGGAAAAAGGGAGTTGAGGGAGAATCAAGGGGGTTGGGAGGAGAAGGGGAGGGAGAGGAGTGCGAGGGCAGAGGGAGGGAGGACAGCGAGGAAAAAGCCCTTCCTACATTTGCCCCCCCACGCCGAGTTGCGCAATCCACCCGCGCTGGGATTGGTCACTGAAGAATTAACACGCCCCGCCCCCTCGACCGAGAAGCCAATGGCGATGGTGGGCGGGGCGAGCGGCGGCCCGTGTGGCCAATGGCGGTTGAGGGGCGGGGAGGACCGCGGACTAGGGTCCCCGCGCGCGCTGGGTCCGCAGTCACCGCCGCCACCGCGCTGGGAGCTCGCCGGCCTCGTGTCGCTGTCGCCGTCCTCCGCTGCCCAGCCGCCTTCGGCGTGTCCCCGCCGCCTTCCGATCCCTGCAGCCGGCCTGTGGCGCGCTCAGTCGCTTCTGGCAGTGTCCCCGCTGCGGCCTCGAGGCCATGGCCACCAAGATCGACAAAGAGGCTTGCCGGGAGGCGTACAACCTGGTGCGCGACGACGGCTCGTCGGTCATCTGGTGAGGAACTTTTCATTGATGTCCACGCCCCGAGCTCGCGAGGGGCCTAGCACAGAGGCCTTTTCCAAACGGGACGGATTAAGGGCCATCCCTTGCCGTGTTCTGCATCCTTACGGCGGGGACCCCGGGACGGCGCGGGAGGCCAGCGCTGGCTTCGTAGCCGCAGCGTCGCTAGCTTGTCCTGCTGCAGGTGCTGCACCTGGCGAGCACCAGCGCTGATGTGTGTGTTTTTCTCTTCTCCCAACCCAAAGGGTGACTTTTAAATACGACGGCTCCACCATCGTCCCCGGCGAGCAGGGAGAGGAGTACGAGCACTTCGTCCATCAGTGCACAGGTAGGGGGCGATTTGCGTCTTCTGGAAGATCCCGGGCACGGGTGGGTCGGGGGGGAGACAGAGGCCAGACTGGTGCATCTGGCACTGGGTGTGGGAGGCACCAGATTTGAGCTTTTGGAAGCCTCCTCCTCGCTGGCCACCAGAGCAGCCGAAGTGGCCTGGCCTGGCGTCCCGGCTCCAGCAGTGGCCTCTCCAGGCAAGCGGGACGGCTTCTTCGCCCTCTGTGGATCACTGGTTTTCCAGGGTCAGCTCCTGCAGTTCCAAACTCCATGTGCAGCCTTAGCACCATCCCCTTTGGCTAGTCAGTGAGCCAAAATAAAAATGACCCTCGGGCTGCTTGCTACAGAAAGGAAGGGTCAGCCGTACCCTTTCTCCCACTGAATCATTGTCCCTGCTCTGATTATGCACGTGGTTTTAAATATGAAGAACATAGAGCCAGATAGAAGAGAACGTCCAGCCTGTGGTTCCATTTTTGTGAAATTCTAGAAAAGGCAAAACTAATCAGTGGTGTGAAAAGTCCGAATAGTGATTCTTTGGAGTAGGTGACCATTGACTGGGGGAGGGGGCATGCAGAGGCTGCTGGGAGCTGGAAATGTCCCATATTTTGATCGAGAGCAGATTACACATGCGTGTATGTAAGGAAAAGATTTATACATAAGATTTGGGTGTGTTATGCACTTCCCTGAGGTGTGTAACCATAAAAAGAAAGAACACATGGCGTGGGTAGCTGTAAGCCCCTCAACACAGGCAAAAGGCTTAGCATTGTTAGTAAGACCTTTAAAGAGCTGGTCTTGGTGGTGCATGTCTATAATCCCAGCACCCAGGAAAATGAGGCAGGAGGATCATGAGTTCAAGGCTAGTTTAGGCTACATAACAAATCCCCTGAATGATTCCTTCCCCCTCTCTGGTCTTTAGCTTGGGAACAAACCCTTAGACAAAGGCAGGAGCCTGGAGGTTGGGGCGTGGACTCTGAGCCAGATGGTGTGAGTTTGAACCCCCCAGAGGCCACTTCCTAGCTGTGTGTATTGGGGCAATTCACTTACCCCCCTGGGGGGGGTTCCTTACTGGTGATCTCTTAGGGGTGTTATGAGATTGATTGGGTGTGTGAGTGCTCAGGCCAGGGTCCTTTGTGAGATGAAGTACAAAATAAGCCAGACATCATGTGACTTCTTTCCTTAACTACTTTTTAAATTGAATTACATTTTGTATTTAGTACAATTCAAATGATACTTATGAAATGTGTACTATGCACCAGGCAGTACTAGGATTAGTGTGTCTGTTCTCTCAAGTAAAACAGCTTTCGTGAGTAATTTGCTTCATATATCAGGAGCAGAAAGTAATACAAGAGCTCAGTTTTAAAAGGTGCACAGGGCCAGGGTGTGGAGAGTTGGCTGGACTGGAGCACGGGCCTGATTCAGGAGCCCTGTCTCAGCCACCCTCTGCCCTTCTGCCTCTGCTGTGACCGTTTTTGTACTTTTGGAACAAGTGCAAATTCTTTTCTCCCTGCTTTTTGCACAGCCAGGAGATCAGCAGAATGTTGGCCTTGCTGGCTTTGTGGGTGAGCTGTCCTCCTGTGGGTCACCCAGCGCCCCTCCCCACTCTGCCTCCGCCTCTGAGGCTATTGTTTTCTCCAGCAAGGGGAGAAGGTGACCCAGGAAGAAAGGGCATCCTGCCCAGGATTCCTGACAGATGCTCCTGGCCTTTGGGCAGCTGGCCCAGGGCTGGCCTACGCTGGGCCAGTGGTCAGGGAACACTTCCTTCCTCCACAGGGGTGGGAGTGGGGAGCGTCTGTTGGGGGAGCTAAAAATGCTTTGCCTGCTGCTTGTTGGTCCTTGCATATGGATCTGAAGGCTCGGCTTCTTCAGTTAAGTCTGTTTCCTCTCCCAGCCATCTGGGGGACAAATGCACAAGCAAGGTCCTTGCCATGTCCTCAGAAAGCTTGTTCCTTCCTGTGCTGTGTCCTCATAAGCCAGAGGCCACAGACTCAGAACTCCATCAGTAACGTTCTGGCACTTTCTGTGTGGCAGTCACTGTGTCTGACCTGCCTCAGCTCTGTTATGCCTCAAAACAGCTTTTGTGGCAGGTACTTGTTCCTCTTCTGCACCCCTCGGAGGTGAAATAACTTGCCTAAAATCACACAGCTAGGAAGTGGCAGAGGAGGGACTTGAACCCAGGAGTCTGCTCTGGGGCCCACGCCCTCTACCACTAAGGAAGTGGTTTTGGTTCTCACCTCTTGTGGGATTGCTTGCAGATCTGAATGGAGGGATGTATTTGCTCACTGTGATGCACCCCGCCAGGTGTCCTGGCTCAGGCTTCCAAGCATCTTCTGAAGAGGTGCACAGTTACTCAGAAGCCCAGACAGCACTTAGTCTCTCCTTCGGTGAACTGCGCTGCGACTTCCTCTGGCTTGCTCTTCCTACTTCCCCTCCTCTGGCTCTGAACCCCCTTGTTCTTGTCTTCTCCCCTTAGGCTATTGTCTTCCTTCCCTGTCCCCCCTCTCCCCCAGTGTTTTCCAGAATGGAGCTGCCCACCCAGCTGCTTCCCTTCTGTCTCTCCCAGCCCAGGCCTGGCTTCTGTCCCCTGGGGCTGTTTGCTGGGCTGCCAGGCCAGCAGCTCCCCTGCTTTCTTCCCTTTCTGCTACAGGACTGGGTATTTGCAGCCTTCTGCCCAAGGCCCCTTCCTTCTTGGTCACTGTCTCTTCTATTGCTTCCTGCCCTATAGCTTAGTCCACAGGGGAGCCGCCTTTCTCCTCTGTCTCCTTCCCTGGGTGGGGGAAGGGCAGAGGTCTTCTTGACACAGATGGTTGTCAATTGCTCCAGCTTCAGCCCCTGGGGAGAGCCATCCTAGTGGCGAGACAGACCCATCCCCTTTGCCAGCAATTTCAGGGGTCCCACACTCACTGTCCTTGGCCTGCCTGAAGTTATGTGCCGATCCTTGTATCAACCTCTGAGCATCTGGGTGGCCAGGGTCTGGACCACAAGCCTGCCCCAGGAGTGGGCAAGCTCTGAAAGCTTCGAAGGGAAGAGTGGGCAAGCTCTGAAAGTGGAACAGGTTCATTGCCCCTAGCCCCCCCCCCCCCCCCCGCTTTCCTCTTACTCCTGATCTTCCTTGTCTTGATTGTGTTGTCCATCTGCTATGCCCCGCTCCCCCTATAAATCTTTCCCAGGCACATCTGTAATTAATATCAGCTCATGAACCTCTCATGGCTCCCCTCTGCCCATTGTACTAAGCACAGGCTGTCTGATTGGCTCTCCAATGCACTTGTCCCCACCCACACCTCTTGTCCTTCTTTGTGCACCCTCATTCTCACACTGTGTAACTTTCTAGTCCTGGCTGTCTTTGATTTTGGAGGCTCCCTGAACATGGAATTCCCCATATTAGCCCATCTGGGACATAGCTACCCACCCACTTAGTGTGCTCGGGACACTGGGAATCAGAAAAGCCCTAGGTCACACCCCAACTCTGCTCTCACTCACTGCGTGAGCCTGAGCAGATGCATTCCTTTTTCCTAACCTCAGCATGCATTTATAAAATGAGAATCCTGATGGAGCCCACCGCTGAGGGGGACCAGGAGGGTTCAAAGCGATCATACACCTAAATGCCTAATCACTACTTTTGCAGTGCACTGGTGGTGTGCTTCCGTCCTGAGCTGAAGTGTGTGCACCAGCTCTGTGCACAAGGGCCGGCCCCAGGCTGGGGTGTGATGGCATTTGGCCCATGTGGGTATGCATGGACCCTTGGCTTGGGTCTGCAAGCCATTGCTGCTCCTGCTGTAGTGAGAGGTTAGCGCAGTATTGAATTGGTCTGGGTTCAGAGACATGAGGTTGAGCACACTGGGGCAGGCAAGTTGCTCAGGTAACCCTTCAGTTACAGTTGTCAGGAGGAGGATTAAGGAATTAAGTGCATCATGCCTGGGACACAGTGAGCACTCTGCAAACATCAGTAACCATGCCTGGCATTTTGTTTGGGGACTCAGGTGATGTGGAAGTAGAGCTGACAGCAGCAGGTGCGTGGTCTGTGGTGCGCCCCATAGCACCACGAGGAATAAGGCGGCATCACGGTTCAGCCCACAGAGGTCAAGAGAAGGGGGCCCCTTGCCAGCCAGACCAGATGTGGAACCTGTCGGACTACGGCAGAAGGGGTGCACGGGCCCCAGATGGGTGATGAGACAGTGGCTTGAGCTGCCTGTGAACACATTGGGTTTGCATCATGCAGTTCACCATGCTTGCTGGCGGCGTGGCTCAATTGGTAGAGCGCCTGCCTAGCAAGCGTGAGTCCCTCAGTTCAAATCCCAGTGCTGCCCCCACCACAAAGACAACCCCTCCTACCCAGAAAAACAAATCACAGATCACATTCTTTGTAGAATAGTCAGAAACCAAGTGTAAATTCAAAGAAGAGAATAAAAATCAAATTGGGGTCAGATACAGTTTTACCACTCAGAAACTTGTTCTTTTGTTCACTCATTCACTCATTCTGCTCTGTGGGCCCTGTTGTAAGCACTGGGCAGAAATGCAACGGCAGCAGCAGCAGAAGGTCCCTGTCCTTGTGGAACTGATGTCTTATTGTTATCATCCAAGATAGATCTCAGCCCCGTTTTTATCTGTATGCTTTTGTGTGTGTGTTTGGTGGGTGGTGGAGGGCATTGGGGTTTGAACTCAGGACTTTGCACTTACAAAGCAGGTGCTCTGCTGCTTGGGCCACTCCTCTAGTCCATTTTGCTCTGGTTATTTTGGAGATGGGGGTCTCATGAACCGTTTGCCTGCTCTGGCCTCGAACTCCGAGGTAGCTAGGATCATAGGCATGAGCCACTGGTGCTTGTCATGTTTTTCTATCTGTACTTTTTTTTTTTTAGTCAAAACAGAGTCAAGCTGTAGCCTTTGAGAGCCAGCTGCCCTGTTAATTGAGATTCCTGAGCATCCTTCCTGCCTTCTGGTTTTTTCCTGTAGCTGCTTTAAGATGGCTACATAGTGTTTTCCCACATCAATGCAACATTGTTTCAC